AATGTTAGGGAAATTCTTCAACTGGACATGAGAGTCAAAGTTGATAGCCTAATTTCCTTGAACCATTGGGTTGTTCCACCCTCAGTAGCACACATCCCATTCTTCCGATCGCAAAACTTTCATTCCCAGCTTTATGATCTGCCAACCCCTTCAAATGAACCTGATACAATTATTTGGTTACCCTCACCAAACTTAAACTTTTCCCTTGCTCACACAATTAAGTACTTGCTCCGACCCACATTCGTCTTTCCTTGGCATCATATTGTTTGGTTCAAACACCATATTCCCAAGCAAAGTTTTATTGCTTGGTTGGCAACAAAAGGTAGACTTAACACACTGGATAGGAAGTCTATAAAGCACAAACACCACATCAATGCATGTTATCTTTGTTTGTCCAACAGTGAGTCTATGCATCACTTATTCTTCAAGTGTGAATTCTCAAAGAAAATCTGGACTTTTGTTCAACACACAGCTGCATTCTACATTCAGCCAGCAAGTTGGAGGGGCTTAATTTCGTGGTGTTCTGATAACTGGAGCTCAAAGGGATTCCTTGTCCACAAGTTACTTCTCTCAGCTGCTGTTTATTTTCTTTGGATGGAGAGAAACAATAGAGCTTTTAGGAATTCCTCTTCATCCCCATCCACAGTCATTAATCAGATCAGGAATTGTACTAGAGGGAGACTTGCTTCAATCATACTGAAAAGTTCAACTGATTTGAGGAGAATGAATAAACTTGAGGACCTATAGAAGCTCTTCAATGATGGCTGCTACTTAGCAAATGCTCACTCTCTGGCTTTCTACTGAGAGTTGGTGTTCATTATGGTTGTAACTAGAAAAAAGTAGTGCATGTAACTGGAAAGTTGTGGATTTGTTTATAGTTTTCTTTTGGCTTGCTGATATATCTGGAAAGTAGTGCTTTTGCTTTGTTTCTGCTTAGGCAGTCTGTGTTTGTCCTATTTGGACCTCCCTGTAAATTCTTTCCTTCTTCTAATACAAGCTTACCTTTTAACTAAAAAAAAAAAAAAAAAAAAAAAAAAAAAAAAAAAAGTTATGTATTAAAAATAAATTAACAAAAAAGTGTTAAAAGTTTCGTGTTCTTTTCTGGCTTGGATTATTCTAATGAGATATTATTGTCCTCATACTTGGGAGTGGGTGTTGGTTCCCTGCCAATCAAGCACTTGGGGGTTCCACTTATTTCCACAGGTCTAAAGGTAGTTGACTGCAATATTCTGATTGATAAAATCACTGCTCGAGTAAACCATTGGGAAACAAAAAGCCTTTCCGATGCAGGTAGATTGGTGCTCATTAAGTCAGTACTTGTTTCTACACAAATGTACTGGTCCAACATGTTCATCCTCCCCAAGAAAGTGATTGATGATATCAACACACTTTTGAGAAGGTTCCTATGGTTTGGACCTGACCTTAAAAAGACTGGCTCCAGAGTTACATGGGGTGCAGTGTGCAAGCCCAAGGAGGAGGGAGGGCTGGGGATTCCTAACTTGGAATTGGTCAACAGGGGCTGCCATCATGAGGCATATTTGGGAACTTATTACTAGCTAGCAACAACCAAAGAACATGGGTGCTATGGTGCAGAATATACCTTTTAAAGGATAACAACTTCTGGACAAAGAGCATACCCCAAGTGTGCTCTTGGAGCTGGAGAAAGATGCTTCAACTTCGACCCTTAGCTAGAGAGATGATACAACACAAGGTGAACAATGGAGAGAACACATACTTCTGGACTGACAATTGGCTCAATGGAGGTCCCCTTACAGACATCTTCAATGAGAGCACCATTCAAGCTCTAGAATCTTCACTCAACACGAAGGTAAGCTCCTACATCCACTCACCAAATTGGTCATTCCCTCACCAACTAATTACTACTATCCCAGAGCTCACAATGCTACAGCCCCCATTATTATCTATACCCGATAAGATTGCTTGGAGGGTGAGCACACACTGTATGCACTTGCCCCAGGCCATTCAGCAGTTCACTGGTCCAAATTAGTTTGGGATTCAATTGCCATTCCAAGGCAGAATTTGATCTTATGGATTGTAATACAAAATCGGTTGCCCACATTGGATAGCAAGATCATGTCTAAAATGGAACCTAAAACATGTCATCTTTGCTCATCCAAACCCGAATCCCATTCCCATCTTTTATTTGATTGTGATTTCATATCCCCAATATGGAGACTCATTCAGGATAGATGCAGATGCTATATAAGGAGTGATAACTGGTCCCAATTCATATTTGGGCAAGTCAACATTGGGTTAATAGAAGCCCTAGAATTTTGTTCTGTAAGGTAGCACTTGCAGTATTAATGGTCTACAGCATATGGCCAAAAAGGTACAACAGGCTTTATAGGAGCATTCCCTCGTCACAAGCTTCAGTCCTCAGAGTAGTAGTAAGCTTCATTGCCGGATCCCTCAAAGCCTCCAAAAAATCTGAAATCTCAGCACTTGCAGAAGAATGGAGCCTTGTTTCAGTCCGACCAAGACCACCCCCTCGGCCTCCAGACTAAGGTTTCGAAGGGGATCATCATAATAGCGGATTGCCCTCAGTAGCACAGACCGGATTGTGGAAGTCATTGCTGACGGAAAGAGTAGTGCTATTGCGAGCGCGCGCTAGCAATAGCACTCACGCGCACCCCCTTTTTAGCCGTAGGATGTGTTTTCTTGAGATTTGGGAACACTGCAGAAACTCCGTTTCTCTCTCTTCTCACGCCGTTTAATCCAACTTCTCCTACGTCACTTTAGTTAATTTTTTATTATTTTTTTCTGGGCGGGTCTTCTTCTCTCTCCTCGCGCTCTCTTTCTGTACGTTCCGCGAAACTGTCGTACAAGCCGCTGGCCCTCTCATCACCATACTTGGCTAGCTCATCTTCTCCTTCATCTGGTCCAGGTTTTAAAGAACCGTTCTCGCTTGAAGGTCCTTTGCTTTATACTTTTGTTAATTTGTCGATATTTGCACACACTTTCTCTCTCCAAACTTTCACATACACTCTATCTACATATATACACTAGCATATAGTATCAGTTTCTTTCTCATGTTTTTTCAGGTGGAAAACTCAGACAAGCGTGCCTTTGAAAATATCAATTCTAGATTCAAACTCAATCCAAAGTTGAAGACGCACAACAAGAAGATCAAAAAAAATATCCATGCCCATGTAAACACAACATCCAATGTTGAATTTTACAGCCCCTTTAATTTATTCTCTCACATCACATAAATTTCAATAATGAAGGGAGAAATTTGGTGAGATGGTGCACGTGGATTTGGGTTACTCCAATCGGTGCGGGGGTTGGCAGTGGCAGCGCAGTGTGAGTATTGCAAAAAGCTTGAAGGAGGAAGAGAGCAGAGGGCCGCCGGTCATCTGAAGAGGAGTTCAAGAGGTCTTTAGAGAGTTGAGTCAGTAGGTGCCAATTAACTTTACCCTTTTTTTTTAGAGAGACCCAGAAGAGAAGAGGAGAAATAAAGAATGAGAGAAATAAAGAGTGAGAGTCATTTGCAGAGACGAAGAGAGAGCAGTGTGTTTGTTGAAAGACATATGAAGGAGAGAGAAGGTCCTTTGTGCTCCTCTCTCTTAAGTTACATACCGCCATTCTAAAAGTTAATTGGCTTACCGATTCAATTCCTGGCCAATAAATCCTTGTTCGCCGGTAAAGTTAATTGGCTCCTTTGCTCTTCTCTCTCAAGCTGCTGGTTCAAATCCGGCCCACAGTTGCAACCACGCCATCGTGGACCTCTCTGCAATTCCTCGCCGGTAAGCTTCTTGCTCTTCGGGGTTGCCCGGCACTCGAGTTTCAGATTTTGCACTCCAGTTCTCAGCTTGTGCCGATACCTCTGTCGTTCCCCGTTCCGTCCCTTTCACAAAGATCTTCTCTTACTGATGAAAATTGGGTCTGATATGAACGGTGTGACTGGAGAATCTGGAGAGAGAAAAAGGAAGAGGGAGAGAAAAAAATGTTTTTGGGTCTGCAAATAGAACGAAGGGGAAGAATAGAAAATTTGGATGTATAGGGGTTGTCTTCCACTACCTGGACCAGATGAAAGAGAAGATGAGCTAGCCGAGTATGGTGGACGTAGAGAGAGAGAGCGTGAGGAGAGAGAAGAAGACCCAGCTAAGAAAAAAATAATAAAGAATTAATTAAAGTGACGTAGGAGAAAGTTGGGTTTAACGCTGTGAGAAGAGAGAGAAACGGACTTTCTTTAGTGTTCCCGAATCTGAAGAAAACACATCCTATGGTTAAAAAGGGGGTGCGCGTGAGTGCTACTGCGAGCGCGCGCCCGCAGTAGCACTACTCTGACGGAAATTGCAGTTACAATGGCTTTCTTGCTTGTCATCACGATGATGCTTTGAACAGTAGTTTGAATTCAAAGTTATTTAACCATAACTGATATGGTTTGGGCTTGGTTTTGTGTTGGGCCTATTGGGTTGGGTTGTATCTTTTTTGGCTGCCTGGTTGTTGGGCAGCTGGGTCATTGGCCCTTTAATTTCATATACATATTTATACAATTATTTAACCGTTCGAAAAAAAATAATAATAATAATATGTAATTTATATCTATAACTAAATTAAAAGGGCGTGTCACTAAATTATTGGACCACAAAACTAAAATCAACCAATTCGCTTTATGTTAAAAATATTTTGTGATCCAACTTGTAACTGGAAAATAAATGAATTAAGCATCAACCGGACAACGAAAAAATCTAATTTCTAAATCTAACTTTTGACCAAATTATCAACTATTAAGAGTTTTGATAACTAGTTAACTACTGTAATTAATTAGTGCGTAATTAAGATCTAACTAGACAACAAATTATCTAGTTCTAAAAGGATTAAGAGTTCTGACAACAAAAATAGTGCCTAAAATCAGCTCGTAATTAAAGTTGTAAAAGGATTAAGAGTTTTAAGGGATAAACTTTGTTCCTGTATAAAATCTCACACACATACTCTGGTCTTTCCTCTCTAGTCTTTTTTTTTTTATAACTCAAATGGGCTATAATACTAAGGGTGATGATAATAATAAGGTTGATAATACTAATTATCATCGAAAAATCACCAGATATGTGGTGGCAGCTTGGCTTTTTGGTGCGGCCAGTGGACTTATGTATGGATACGAGATCGGAATATCCGGTAATTAATCATGCTGATTTATTTTTTTCTTTGTCAATTTATATATCTGTATCCATATATGATTATGTGTTGTATATGTGTATAAACATATGTGTGTGTGTGTGATAGAGATTTTAATTATTTTTTGTGGCTGTTTTGGATGAATAATAGGTGGTGTGACATGCATGGGTCCCTTTTTGAGTAAATTCTTCCCCCAAGTTTATGGGAAGGAGGAGGTTGATCAATCAGTGAAGCTGCAATATTGCAGATTTGACAGTAATATATTGACATTCTTCACCTCGGCCTTATACATATATGGCCATGTTTGTGGCATTCTTCTCGGCTTTGTGTCTCATCAAAAAATGCGGTCGCAGAAATTGTATGATTTTTAGTGGCTTAATCTTTTTTTATTGGCGCCATGCTTAATGCTTTTGCGGAAAAATTATGGATGCTTATTGTGGGACGTATTTTATTGGGGATCGGAGCTGGTTTTGGTGTTCAGGTATATTTAATAATGAATTTTTGGTACATATATATAAGTAAATGAATAATGATAAATAGTCGATATATCCAATTGATGTATGTGAGTAAGGGATGATGTTATCACGAGGTCATTAACTATGATGAGATGATATATATCATCATATACTCAGTCTTGAGGCGTGTTTGGAAGCTATTCCATCTTGTATACACATGCATAATTTAGCTCATTTACTCGGTGTTGAGGCGTGTTTGATTTGAAATTTTGAAAATAATTCTCAGAAACAAAAAACTGTTTTTAGAGAAGTTTAAAATAGTTCTTTGAAAACATACTTTTTTATTTTTATTTTTTATATTTGAGATTTTCAAAAATAGTTTTAATCCAATATAATTTTTGTACATTTTATAATTTTCAATTTTTTAAAAACAGTGACAAACTAAGCAAGCCCTAATTTGTTTGACCTAATATACATGTTATGCATACAACATGCAAGAATCTTTTTTTTTTTTCTTCTACATATACATATTGTAATTATTTTCTTCAATCTTTGATATATTTTTAAAATTAATATTGATGAATGCAGTAGTATTATTCATTCAGTCGCTGCCACAATACGTCTCCGGGATGGCTGCATGTTTTTACCATTTGAGCATGATGGTTGGCATATTGATAGCCAATTTCATTAACTTCGCCACTTCAGAGATGAAGGATGGCAGGCGTTATAGCTTGGGTGGTGCTGGAATCATCGCTTTCTTTATAATCATGTCAGCATATTTCAATTCTGAGACTCCAGATTCTCTGATAGAGAGAGGCAAGTATGAGGAGGCCAAACAAAAGCTCAAAAACATTGGTGGCGTCGTCGACGACATTGAGGCCGGGTACGACCACTTGGTGGACGCTATTCGAGAATCACAGAAAGTGAAGCACCCTTGGCGTAACATCCGAAAGAGGAAATACAGACCTCAACTCGTTTTGTCCATTTTCATCCCATTAATCCAACGACTCACTGGTATGAGTGGTGTCTTGCTCTATGCTCCTGTGCACTTCAAAACCCTAGGTTTACCAAATGATGCTTCGCTCTTCTTGGCAGTCATTGCCGGTGGTGTCAATGTTGTAGCAACCATTTTTGTAATTCATAAGTGGTTTAGGAGGAAAATGTTTTTGCTTGGTGGTATCCAAATGTTCATACTTCAGGTACTTTAATTTTGAAAAATATTTTATATAAGTCTTGATATTTAGGCTGAATAGTTACACTTATTTGTGAAAGTGAAACGATTATGACCATTAACGATTTATATATTTATGCATACAGATTGCAGTGGCATTTCTTAGTGGGAATATAGAAATTGGAATGTGGGGTGTAATGACCGATTTGTCCAAATGGTATGCCATTCTGGTAGTGTTGTGCATCTGCTCTGTTGTTGCTTGTTATGCTTGGTCATGGGTAGCATTAGGATGGGTGGTGGCAAGCAAAATATTTCCACCGGAGATACGTTCAGCTGCGCAGAGTATTACAATGGCTGTCGGCATGCTCTTGGATTTCTTTGCACAATTCTTCCTCAAGATGCTTTGTGGTATGAAGTACTGGTTGTTCGTCTTTTTCGCGTGTTTTGTGGCCATAATGAGGGTTTTCGTGGCCCGTTTTGTGCATGAGACGTAAAACATACCTAGAGAAGAGATGTCACAAGTGTGGGAAGAACACTGGTACTGGAAAAGATATGTCCTTGATCAACAACAACCCTTAAACGGGGAGGGCAAGACAATAAGAAAAAAACGGAGGAGTACTTAATTAGACTAGCTAATTTCTTTTTGTAGCTACTACTAGTTTTAGGTTTTGGATTCTAATGCCATGCTACCTACTTTTACATGTTATAATAGACTAGTACTTGTACAATTTTATGATTTTTGATATATATATATATATATATATATATATATATATATATATATATATATATATTTAAATGGAAATTTTTTGTTGGATCTGATTTAATTACTTTCTCCCTCTTTATATATATAATAAATGGATTGATGATATAATCATTTCCAGTTTGGGAATTATGGAATGGGTTTAATTTTGTGGCCTTAATTTTTAGCAGTTGCTGGATTGCATACGTTTTTTTTTTGGTGCTGCATGTTATTGTGGTCTGATCGACATGGATTAGGCTCAGTCAAAATATTTATTGTGTGCGCATGTTTTGACTAAAATACGGTCATATATGACAGGCTGATAAAACAGAACAAGTTTGTTTTGATGGTGATTGATCTGGGCATTGCTAATTTTTTTTGTGATTGTTTATGTAGTATGTTACGTTGATTAGTTGCCATGTTTTTATTAATTAATTGTGGTCTTAGTGATATATGCATGTATGTGTGAGTTCTACAGAGTGTGCATATACTGATATATATGCATGTATGTTCTGAAAAAGAAAAATCACTTGCAGGGCCCAACTAAGTATTCTGTAATTCGTTTTACCAGCACTATAATTGATATCAGATAATGATTCAAAAAATATAAAAATAATAAATTAGTTTTGAAGTTTGTACTAAGAAATTGGAAAATTTTAACAGAAATTAGTTTTGAAGTTTGTACTAAGAAATTGGAAAATTTTAACAGATTGATTGTGTATTTTTTAGAAAGTAACATCAACCTACAAGGCTTTTGATGGTAACGGATTCTAGATCTCTCCCTTACAACTTACAAGGCGCTTGGTACAGATTTATTCAATTTTAATAGTTTATTGATCTTATTAACATGCATTGGAAAGGCCACTATATATGTATTTGTATGAGATTCTAGATGTTTTAATTGTAAATTGCTGATAATGTTATGCCTAGATATTCTATTTGTTGGCTACAAATAGTAGTCTTGGTTCCATTTTCTTTGTAAGGGGCAAGTGTTTATAGTCCAAACTTTCCTCTTTCTCTTAATGGTCTAATATTTAGATCTAATTGCGTTTTGTTATTATAGAAGGTAAAAGTTTGATTTGTATGTTTTGCAATGATTTATAATCCGAATATACTCTCAGATGAATTAAATATCCAAACTTAGAAAAATATCTAGAAAAATTATATTTAATTTACTGTAAAAGGTTTGGGGTTTTTCTAATAAAATCTCATACGTTCTGTCAATAAGGTAAGGCGAGTCGGAGACAGATTTTGAAGAGTACCTAAATAATGAAATAAAATTACAATTGATATTTGGCGATTGAAATCGAATAAATTAGAATTTGCTTAATAATATACTTAATATTATTGAATATAAAATAAAGTATTTGAATAAAATTATAATTTATCCTTATAAACAGGCAGAGTGGGTGGGAGACCTTTCCCATTCCCGTCCCATAAACGGGGCAGGGAATTGCCATCCCTAGCTAAACCACACCCGTGGATGAAAGCCCGAACTTTACCGACCCATGTGGGATGGGTGTTTTGCATGGTATTATGGGGATTAGTCGTAACAAATAATTCCTTAGATCATGCCCGCAGGTGAAAACTCAAGCTTTACCGACTCATATGAAAGGAGCGCTTTGCATGGTGTTATGGGGATTAGTCGTAACAAATAATTCCCCAAAAAACTTACATGAACCATTCTTACATCTCATATCAAGGTTTTTGTGAATCTTAGACGTTTCCATTCAACTTCGATACTATGATAATAATAATTTTAGCCATTTGATATTTTCACTTCATATCGTTAATGTTACAAATTCTTCTTATTATTTTATTAAGTAAATCAACTTCTAACAATTATTATTATTATTATTATTATTATTTTTTCCATCTGCAAAAATAACTTTCATTATTTAAAGAGAAATAAGTATTGAAAATTATACCACGATTAATTTCAAGATAAAATTATAAAACATTTCTTGCATGAATTGGACAAATAAAGTTAGACAAAAATTTAGTAACGAAGAGTATACCGCATGGTCATTGACCTAGGTGGTATGATCTTTCTCGATCTCGAAAGAAGACGTGAAAAGTCTCAAATAGGCTGGGGTGCTGGTACATGTTGCTTGCTTAATTCAAAAAAGAAAAAGCAAGTAAAAACACATTTACCTCACATATGCTTCAGAATTGGTATCCATTTAGTTTGAGACAAGGACTCAAGCATTAATGGAGAAACTCCGGTACAAGATATCTTAAAACACAACCCCAAGAGTCAAGATGTAGCAAGGTGGAATAATTTATTTTAAGGTTAATTTTATTGATATCCCTTCAGTTTTGACTAAATAAAATATTGAAATAATTTTTAAAAATTACTATCACTCACATTACAAATATTTGTCACGTTTTTCACTCACATTCTGACGGCTAATTTTCAATAATGTCATAACACTTTATATATATAAAAGGATATTATTACCCTTTCACTTTGTCAAAAATTTCTTTTAACTTTAAAAAGTTGTTTAAAAGACTAAAATATTCATACTTTTTTCCAAATTCACTCATCAACCATCCAAAAGAATTTTACCAAAAATGCAAGTTGTCGGCGGCGGCACAGTGACTGATACAAGAGCGATCTCAAACTCGATTATGTTTATATATATATATATATATAGATATATATCGTGTTGCCACCTCTCCTTCCTCACTAGTGCTGTCGGCATCAATGATCCACCATCAAGTCCCAATTCACAACCACTGTAAATACCATCCGAAGTTGCGTTACTGTCACCATCGAGCCCAAGACCCACTCTGCAAAATTGGTATTATTTTACGTGAAATTTTTATTTTGAAAAAACAATATCCATTAAGAATTATTATTACTATTTTTGTTGCCGGAGAATAGCGCTGGTGGTGCTCGATCCTTCTCTGGTGGTCCTTTCCCAAACGAGTTTTTACAGTGACGAGGTTTACCGGAACCGCCAAAGGCGGGGAAAAAGGCAAACAAACCAGATTCTTTGGAATATATCATCCTTAACAAAGGACTACTTTTCTTTTTTTTCTTTTTTCTTTTTTTCCTTCGAATATCTAGATCTAAGCACTTATTGGGCTAATAGAGTAAGCAATCTCTCTAAACTCAATTAGATGAGAGAAAGAAAAGCAAAGAAAACGCACTTATTGGAGCTAACAGACCAAGCACAAGCAATCTTTCCAAAAGGTGTGCCTTTTACATAACGATTGGTAAAGATGATGCTCTAAGAGATAAAAGAAGTGGATATTGTTGGCCAAATTTGAAGGGTGTGAGTGAAATTAATCTTTAATTTTTATTATTTTTAAAAAAAAACTCACTTTGGATGTTTATTCGTCTCGATGGAGTATAAGTTAAGGTAAAAATCGTTGATAAATGTCTTCCATTCTTAAAATTACTTTGCTATTAAGAAATTTTGTTTATTATATGACAAGAATCTCAAACAGAAGTAAAAAAAATATAGGATTTATGTAACTGGCTTTAAGAGTAGTTGGGAAAATTTTATTTTATTTATTTTTTATTTTATTATTATTATTATTTTTTTATGATATATAGCTTCAATCTGATAGAGGTGGTGCTTCTATTATATATTTTGGGCTCAATGGGTTCAAAAATACATTCTAAAAGTACAGGAACTTTTTCGGCAGTGAATAATCCACCTGGCATTTGCTCATGGAGCTTTAAGAAGCTCTTGAAAATTGAAACCCACACTGCAGGTCCTAAAAGATGGTCCCGTCCCGTTATTGCGGGATTTAACAAGGATTGTATGCACACAATCTTATTTTCGTATTGAGAATGTATTTTTTATTTCGAATGCGTTAGCTGCTTTTCATATCAATCCTACTGTTGCCCACCTTCTAAGAATGTCGCAATCCAAAATTAGTAGTTCACCCTTGGCCATGTGATGGTGATGGTGATGGTGATGGGAACAGTAAGATTGATTTACACAGCTTCCAAAATTCAGTGTTAATGGTCAATGTGCCTGCAGTTCACCCGTGGCCATGTGATGGTGATGGTGATGGTATTGCGAAAACGAAAATTTTTAAAATTTTATGAGAGTTTTTTAAATAAAGATTTTAATTTATGTATAGAGATAAGTTTTATACATAAATAAAATAATGATTTATTTAATTTAGGAATATAAAATTTACATTAATGTTTGAGTAAATCTTAGATTTCTCCTCTAAAGTGAATGTTCTCACTTATTGTAAATCCCTTTGCTAGATGTATTTTCTTTAGATCTCCATCTTCTTGGTAATGGTCTTCCCTTTAAGAATCACCTATAAATCTGCATGAATGACTTTGAAAAATTAGGCTTGTGGAAATTTCCATTAGAATAGAACACTAACCCTAAAAATTTTAGAGAGAGAAAATATTTCTTATCTTCTAAAATTCTAATGTGATATCTCAAATCTAATAGGATTCCAATATCAAGTTGAGTTATGAGTGAAAATCCTTTGGGCTTATTATTTTATTGGCTACAATAAATTAATAATTGGCCTGGTCTATTGACCCAATTAAATTAATTCATTAATTAATTTCTACTCCACTAAAAGAAATTAATTAAACTCCAATTAAATAATAAATAACCTTTAAGTCAATGTTGTACTTTGACCTCTCTATACATAATTAGTTATCGGATAAATAAAATCATCAATCCGACCACTTAATTAATATATTTATTTTGGTACCTTTGATTATTTCCGACTTGATCACAATAAAACATTTGTTTGACAAAAATA